AATTTTGAAGCCGTAGTAGCAATTTAATACAGATTGTTGATTTTCGCTCCCTTTAGAAAGTAGAACGTCAATGTCGACAGAACAGTCGTCAATACAATAATGACAGCTAACTAAGGTGTCAAAACGGCTACGTCAATTGTGGGGTGGCCAGCCCATAATTAAATATTCCTACTATTTTTTAACTAAGAAATTTATATAATTACTTAACTTCACGCTTTTCACCACCGAAGGGGTAGGCAGAGGTGCACATTACGACACTTAATGCCACTGTACAATGTACCCACTTTTCACTATTTTATGTTATGATTTCCATGTAAAAAATTGTATATTTTTTATTGATTAATGAAATCATTGAGGGCGCCACAGATCGTTTGTACCAACCAAATAAAACCCAAAAGTAACATAAAAATAAATGTGCAATGTAAAAAATCCTTATTTTAGATATAAAATGGTTTTTTTTTGTAAGTTTTTTATTTCTGGTAAATAAAATATTATCAGTAATACGATTTCTACCCATAATAGCCACTGTTCGAGCGAACACATAATCTGAATTTGATAATCCAGCTTTTGTTAAGTAGAAAATCAGTTTATACTCGAAATACAACCAGTCGAGCTCAACTCTAAATTTTTCTTTTGCATGTTTAATAAACTTCTGCTAAGTTTTATTTATTTAAATTACAATCTCCAAACAAACTCGATCACACAGATGACATTCAACGTACTATCATTGAGTGTTGCCATAGTTTTAATGTTGTTAGTTTCCTTAACATTCGTCGTCATTCTTAAATTAATAGATAAAGTTAATAATAATAGGATATTACGGCATGTCATTGCTACAGTTTTACTTTTATATACTGACTCAGATAGTAGATAGTAGTAGAATGGCGGCTCCAATTCATCGTGTATGATATTGTCGTAGCGTTATATTTTATAGCCTATAGCATTTCTAGGTAAATTAAAAACAAAAAAAAATCGATCTAGTACACCTACACCTACGTCCTTTATGTTTTTTATTTTCAGCGATGATCGTCCCACTGCAGGGCAAAGGCCACCCTACCCTCCTTCCATTCCTCTCTTTGTAAAGCTTTTTGCAGTCAATACTTGCCATATACATATGTATGGTTCATCCCGCCATCAACTTTTGGGCCCGCCGCGATGTCTACTGACATTGAGTGGGCTCCATTCAGTAGTAGGTAAGTTTTGCTCACCGCTTGTTCGAGCTAAGGCAGACATGACCAGCCTAGTTCCACTTAGCCAATGGTTTTATCACTAACGTCAACTATTTTAGCCGTATAGCGCAGCGTGGTGTTTCTTTTTCTTACCGATACTCGAACTCCTAAGATACAACGCTATATGACCCGCTGGCAAACCTTGAGTTTGGACTTCTGGTGTTGTGTAAAAGACCAAGTTTGAGTTTGGACGCCATAAGTGGGGATGGGCAGAATGGACATGTCCATGAGTTTTTTTTTCCAGAACTAAGAGAAGATTATTTGCCACAGAAATATTAAAATATATCTTTGTTTTATGCCGTAAAGGTTTGCTGCGGTCGTTGATCATGCTGCTTAGCTCAGCTACTGAAGAAGAGGAGAGTACCTACTATGTCAGCTCGTACTCCGCAAGCTTTTTGAAGATCTGTTCTCATCAACTCCCTTAGAAATAAAGAAGGATCGTGTAGTCTGATTGCTGTGGTAATTTTACGGTAAAGCAAATTGTGTCTTAAGTCTTATGTCTTGGTTGTGTAGTGCTGTGAATATTGATGAATGGGTGAGACTGTCGCTTTGGAACAATCTATAAACGCTGTGTATGCTGGGGGTTTTCATATTCATAAATAGTATTCGTTAATCGAAAGTTTTAATACATAAAATCGTTTCCTTACGTAGAAAAACAGATTTCTAATTTATTAAAAAGGGTAGGTACATGTACAAAGTGAAAACGCATAAAAAATGAAAAGACAATAAAACACACACTTTATCTGATATTAAATTTAATAGGTATTCTATTATTTACAATAAATTGTTCACTATTAACATGTTATTTATTTATATCTTTATCATTTCCTCGGTTGTTAATAAATTATATACATGGCTATTTATAAATAAGATAATATCAATACTGTGAAGTTCGACAAATCCACAATTTCTTATTATGAGCATGAAAAATATTTGGATCATTGTTCTTTGATGGGAATTATAATGCCTAAGTACACTCCAAACATTGTTTGTGCTCATAATAATTTAACAATAACTTAAAAATCACACAGAAGTATATAAAAAGAAAAACAAATTATAGTTTACAAGTTTTAGCACCTCCACAGGTTACAACTGATGTATATTTTATTCAAATACGAAATAACTTACATAACTAACGCAACTTCACGATGAATAAAAAACTTTATATGACACAATGTCTCAAATCAGTACACATAACACAATCGAAAATGGTAAAGAAGAATACCTTCATCATACATGCAAAGTAACATAATATTTAAAAATTGTGATTACATTAAAATGAATATTAAATCCACAGTTACTCGTGGCCTTATATATTTGGCACTAAATTATTTGGATGCACATGTCTATCTACAGAGATATACAAATATTAACGGAACTAATTAATCAAGATATTTAGAATATTGTTTTCGTACAATAATTTGTATTGCAATGAGCTATATCGCTGTTATATTCGTAACCAGATAATATTAATACTACCTATTATAAGTAAGAAGTAAACCTATCTTGTCTTTCAAATTTTGTACCTTTTGTTTTAGCTGCAACTTAACATACTGCTAACCACTCTAGTCTTTTTATTGCATGTTTTGTTTTCAGTAGGACTTTTGGTAGCGGCACGATTTCTGGTAGACATTACCCTGACCCTATGTTATTATTGTCTTGTAAGTACATTGAAGCGACACCATTTTAAGTAATGCAGTAAATTGTAGCACTAAATAGTAAGCCACACTTATTTCCTCCGTCGCATAGAAATAAGATAGGCTTGAGGTTTTATGATACAATATACGCCCATGTTCCCACATGAATGTGTAAATTATTAATATTTTCTGGTTACACTTCGATAAGTACCATTTAAGCGTATTAAACACACCCAGTTCGAGAATATTCACTCTAATATTATTTTATCTATAGGTAGGTATACGTTAAATGGGTAAATTTGCCAAAAAGAATAATTTATTGGCCGAAAATATTAATTGAAATAGGTATACTATAAAAACAGATATGTCGTTGTACAGTAGGTAAATTGATTATACGGATATAAAATATTGCTTTTCTACTCACTATAATAGCAGTGTTAATTTTAATTGGTTTTATTGTAACTATTAACGTCCTACCATCGAGTCGTTTCTTTATAGAGAAATCCACAAGAAGACTACAGGAGAAATTTTTCAAAAAATTCTATTTTTAATATCTACGTACCGTATAAATTTGGCATTTTAGAGAAATATTTTATTGTTTTATCATCGTATTTATTTACTATCTATTTTATTCATTGCAAACTATAAATTCCATTGCATTATTGTTGGTGTAGTATTTTAGAATTTCTTTTAACCATCTTAGTAATTTTTATATGCTTAATATTATTTATTCGGACTGGCAATACGCGCGCTTTAGTTTTATAAATCACAAATATTTTTGACGATGTCATTAAGTACATTATTTAGAATTGAAAATTAAGTACAACACAAAGTAAGCAGGACAGCAAAGAAATAATAAATCGTGTTTTATTGGACAGTCTTCACAATAATATAATAATTCTTTATAATATTAATACTAAGTAAGTACTAAAGGAATGTATTCTATAATCACTTTGGAATGTTTATAGATTCGTAGAAGAAAGTAACCCCTAACAATTTATTTAAACCCAGCATTTGAAACTGACGTAGAAGCTATAATTGTAAATACTTATTTAAAATATACAAGTAAATATAAAGATTCCAAATACACGGAATTCTATAAATTATAATATCAAGCAATAAAATATATAAACATGCCTTTATTCAAAGAGGGGAATTTTAATTTATAATATTTAATTATTGGCGCTTAAATACACTCATAATTTTTAGGTTCAAAAGTTTGGGGCGTGCGTGGCCGAGTCAGTCAGGACAAAACTTTGAAAATATTATTTCGAATTTTATATATAAATGTCTAAACTACCGAAGGATTTAATGACTGACTCTCGGGGTCATTTATTATAATAACTATTTCTAAACCTTATTAAAATAAGAAACAAAGATAACACTAACCTTCCTTCGTTTCTAATTTTAACAAACAATTACTTAGAAGTTTAAAATGACGTAACATCCACGAATAAGGCAGTATATTTTGTTAAAAATTTAATAAACCAATCTCTCTATGGACTTTATAAGATAAACTCGCTCTTTTATTGTAGATAAACACTATAAGTATGTAAAATTATGCACAAAACATATCATTAACATCAGATAGAGATTTATTGCCAAAATTTATTTAATTTATAACGAAGAGTTCATCAATAATACGACTAAAAACGTACGAATTTCGTGGTCTATCGAATTTAATTAATAAATATTATTTTATTTCTCTCATTTTGATTTCATAACACCACCTCCACACTCGTCTTCATAAGTAATCGCACCTCACTTGTAACACTTATCGTATTTTTGAAATAATTCATAACTAAACTAAAGTGATGTCTGAAACGAATAAAAATACACTCGTCCTGTAAATACCTACGACTCGGTACTGGAATCGAGTCATAGTAACGTAAAACATCTCGGATTATCGTTTTTATTTAAATATTCAATTTCAACTAAACAAGACTTCGGGAACACATTTCTAAATTCTATATTTTCATCTACATCGTTACGGGCTGAGAACGTGTCCGTCTCTCTACATGCCTCTCTATCACTACCGAGTGCTCTCATATCCGATTTCCATTTGAATTTCTTTTTGACGTCGCAAACGTCAAGGAAGTAGACGAGCAAATGTAAAACCATTTGCGTGATGATATCAAACATCAGGAGCAGCGGAGTCAGGGCGGAGGGGCGCGGCAGTGCTGGGGGCGCGGGGGGCACGGGCGCGGACGCAGGGCGCGGGCGGGTCGCGGTTGGCGAGTACACAGGGCGCGGGCGGGCCGCGGACGGCGCGGACGCGTGGCACGGGCGGGCCGCGGACGGCGCGGACGCGTGGCGCGGGCGGGCCGCGGACGGCGTCGGTCGCTAGGTGTGCTTGAGCCAGTGCGCCGGCACCCACTGCGGCTCGCGCTCGAGGCTGTTGATCTCGTTCAGCAGTTGTTGGTAGGCACGTTGGGTGTCGTTGTTTATGATTATCATATCGAACAGGTGGCCCCATCGCAGTTCCATATCCCGTGCGGTTGCGATTATTTCTTTTAATTCTTCTTCCTGTAAACGATTATAGAAACATTAACATCTTGATCATTATCAGAACTAAAATTAAATGTAAGCAACATATTTTTTGTCAGCATCAGTCAATAAGGATTTAAAAGTCTACCATGAAGTTGATGTTAATGGTATTTACGTTACCTTGAAAGCCTCTCCATTTCTGATCTTCTTCTGCCTAAGTTTCTCGAGGCTGGGAGGTGCTACGAACACGGTGTAAGGCTTTAGGTCGGAATTCCGGAGGATCTTCAGTGACTGAGGGTGTAAGTTCAGTACGCAGATCTTCCCTGAATTCACTACTTCACGGATCGCCTCTAGTGACGTACCTGAAGAGAAAAACAGAATTTTTGTTTTTATTATAAGGGTAAGGTCATGCACAGGTAGATCTTTGAGGCAACCATAGAACAGGCTTTACATATAAATTAAAACGTTAGTAGGTTGAGACCAAAATGGGCACGTGCAGAAAACTACCGATGCTGTATACATTATTTATTCCTTACCGTAATATGCCTTTTCGTACTCTCCGTGCTCGACAAACTTTCTATTGAGGATATCAGCCTCGAACTGCGTGCGCGAAATGAAGTGATAGTCCTGGCCAGGCACCTCATGATCTTTGCGGGGACGTGATGTATCTGTAGTAAATACACATTAACATAAGTAAAAATCACCGACCTTCCAGAGAACAGAATTAAATAAAATATTACCAAAAAAGAAATTTTTTTCGAGTTGGCAATACTACCAACAACGAATTCTGCTCGGAATTAATGGCTTTTGGCTATGAACAATAAGTTCCGATTATAATATTTATTGTTTATATTTTGATAGGTATTGATTTCCTTGCCCGATTAAACAGTAAACTCATTGGCAATGTGAAAATTAGTTTATAATAAAAAAAAAGATATATTACAGACGTAAATGCGTCTGTAATAAAACATTTCAATAAAATAAAATATTTCACTTACGTGGCACTGCAGCAGCAAATCGTGAGCTGTCCTCCATGAGCCTCTGCCTGAGTTCGTGTCGGCCGATGTTGGGCGGCCCGATGAGGACAATGGGCCGCTTGTGGGACGCACGAGGGTAGTACAACGCGACCTCCTCGTACGTTAGGATCTCCTCTTGCTCGTATTCTGGAAGATTTAACCTTACTAATCTCACTTATAGGGCTATTTTGTGGACAGATTTGGATGGGACATTTGTAACTACAAATACATGCACCTTGGGTAATAGACTGACTGATAATTTTATTTAAAAGTGGTTTAGTGGAAATTAGGTTTAACTTTGGGACATATCGGCTATTAAGCTATTTTGGAGAGAATTAATTCATGTTACTAAATAAAGCATCTAATCTAGGCATACTTTAAAGCCACAGAGGTTTTTAAAACCGTTATCATTCGAAGCAGCAGTCATGAAATTTTAAGAAGGGTGACAAAATATCTGTAGTAAATGGAGTAAAATATTTATAAATATAATATTTCATAACATGATTGGTATGAGCCTATTGCCTACTTTAATAAAGTGATTTAAATAAAATAAAAATGCATAACCAAGTGCTTTTCTGATCATCTACTTCTAAGAAAGTAATTCAGAGCATGCAACTCACCATCCCCACCAGACGTGGAGTACAGCGGGTATCCAGCCTCACTCGTGGCCTTCTTGCCCTTCTTCTTCCGCGGCGGTTTCTTCGCACAGAGTAGGGTGCCACCCTTACGTGGCTTGTCTCTGGCCGCTACCTCGCCCGCTAACGTCAGCTTCATTGATTCTCGCCTGGAATCGGAAAGGGAAATTGGTTACTACTTGAAGTCTTCTTCGAAAACAGACTTATCATGATGATGAACCTTCGCTTCAGATTTGATTTCAGGATATTATTAATATCTTGGGTTTATGAAACTCCGTAGTAATGTGAAAGAGTCTTGCCTAATACGTGACACTCTCTGTAATCTTGTCCCAGAATGGGATCGCCCCATGAAGAAGGATCCTTCATTTACCATCGTTTCTGAATCTTCGAATTTTTCTATGGGTTAAAGTTTATGGAGTGTGGAATACTTACTGATGTTGGAACGCCTGGCTGGGAATGAGTCCGGCGAGGGTCTGGTCCTCCTCTCCCTCACGGAATGCTTGCCACCAGTTCGGGTCCTCGCGGCTGATTACGTGAAGAACATCGCCTTTTTGGAAACTTATACCTGGAACATTTAATCAGTCAGATCAGATTATTAAATGGTATAACGCTGTGCGTTGGTATAAGAAAGTTCATTGATTTGAATTGAAATTATCGACAGAACATTTCATTTAGGTACCTATTTATGGCTAACCATAAATAAGTACTAATACTTAGTATGTAGACACCAACAATGTGACAAAGTTATTTTAAATTCAGGTTAATAAGTTTAAAGGGAACTCTGTTGAAATTGTTCAATAACAGAAGTATAGTTTGTGATGTGACTAACCGAGCTCCCGACAAGGGATGTAGACGTCGTCCTCGGGGTCGTAGTCGAAGTGCGCGCGCACGTGCAGCACGCGGTGCGAGGGCGGCGCGCGCGCGGCGGCGCGGCGCGGCGCCAGCACCACGCACAGCGTGCCCGACAGCGCGCCCAGCACCTGGCACACCTCGTGCACAGACTTGCCACGCATCGCCACGCCGTTTACCTCCAGTAACTACAAAGATACGATTGACAGTCGTTGTAGGACCTTTGTATTTAAAAGTATTGACCGGTGGATCGTTAGTGTCATTAGAGGCTGGGACTTCGGTAGAAAGCAAGAAAAATGTCGTCATTCAAAATGATAGACATATACAAAATTCAGCAAAGTACGGTGGTGGTGATATTGAAGACGATCACAATACATAGCATCACGCCTTTTATCCCCGAAAGGGTAGGCAGAAGTGAGAGGTGCACATTACGGCACCTAATGCCACTGTACAATGTAACACCCACTTTTCACTATGTATGTTATGAGTCAATGTAATAGGGGGTGAGCCTATTGCCATATACCGGGCACATTTCCAGACTCCGTGCTACTACTGAGATTATGTTTAAAACCCAGCAATACTTTGCCCGAGCCAGGAATTGAACCTGAGACCCATTGCCCGGCAGTCGCACTTGCGACCGTTCGGCCAACGAGGCAGTCACAATATTGATACCAAATAGGTGAAATAGGTATTGGTGATGATGAGAATGAATGAGTTTACTGATAATGATACAAACGAAAATTTCTTGCTCTAACTGCCCAAAATCTTACCTCATCTCCTTCATGTAATAGTCCTGACTTCTCCGCCGCTCCACCCCTTACTATCCTTCCGATTATTACAGCTTCTCCTTCGTTTCTTACAGTAGCACCTGTAACAATATAACATAATATTAAAATTATTACTTCGTTATATTCTTTTACTTAGTTTTTATGATATTATGTCTCATCCTTACCAAGTGGTTCGTTAGTCTTCTCGATTTTGATAATTTTAATATGTTCGCTGGGGTCATCGGGTGAATGTGCCGTCAATGCTTTGTCGTTTTCACCCTTGTGATTGAAGTTGTTACCAGTCTGGAAGAAAATATAATTATTATTTACTTAATTTATCATCTATAGAGTTATCCTCAAATAAATATAATTATGCAGATTTCTTTATTGAGGGGTGAAAATAATCCAATGACTTCTCCCGCCTGGGTGAGGTGGGAGGGAGTGTCAGACTCTTACTGACTAAAAACCACCCCGTTACTACTCCTGCACTTCGAGCCGGAGCCCCGGTAACTTAACAACACCATGTTAAAGCTTACAATACAATGTCGGAAACGCAACGTCAAAGATTAATCTTCGGACAAAATGATCTTATTCAAAATCGTTTTCATAAATTACAGACCCGGATTGTCTGAATTCGAATACATTAAGTAATAGTTTATGAGTTGCATAAAACCATTAATTTCCCCATTTTCTTGGTTTGTTTGTTTTCTTTGTTCTTTGATTGTTTCTATATAAATTGGGATTAAAATTATCGTAATTTATGTAACGTTATCTAGAGGTAAAAAATGTTGACAGGACGAATATCTAAATGAATTACTCTCTTTGTATATTTTTAGAAATAAGTATGTATCATTAGATTAGGCAAGTATTATTAGATTAATAGCGAAATGATTAGGAGCATACTTGGTAAGATTATTTCAAAATCAAGAATTTGTTTAGGCATTGAATGTATTACGTGGTCTTTTACCGTTTTAAAGCCGACAACTGGAGTGATTTCTTATTCAAAGGCCAATTTCTTATTCATTTTGGATCATTGCCAGATGACCAAGTCAATAAGTAGGTATTCTTTCTTTTTTATGGAATGGGGGTAAATGAGCAGACGGATCAACATGATAGTAAGCGATTACCGTTGCCCATGAACATCTGCAACACCAAAGGAGTTACAAGCATTGGCGACTTTTTTTATGAGGAGGGAAAATAATCAAATGACTCCTTTCGCCCTGGGTGAGACAAGAGAGAGTGTCAGACACTTACTGACTAAAAACCACCTCCAACTTCTACCTACATCGGAGTCGCGGAGAACCTAACGGGTAACCGGGGTTCCGGCTCGACGTGCAGGAGAAGGAACGGGGTGGTTTTTAGTCAGTAAGAGTCTGACATTCCCTTCCGCCTCACCCAGGCGGGAGCAGTCATTCGACGATTTTCCCGCCTTAAAAAAAAACTTCTACCTCCAACCAGAGCCACGGCAATCCTTGCGATTGCTAGCTTCCTTTTTCTTTTTTACCTTATGCCTCTTGCCCCTGTTAAAGCAGGCGGGGTCCAGCAGCGCGGCCGCCTGGTCGTGCGCCTGTATCAGGCTCTCAAGCTCCAGCCCACCCAGGATCGACAGCAGCTCCGCCGCCAGCGCCGACGATTCACTGCCCGTTGATGTGTGCGCTCCTAGTACGTCCATGCACTGTTGGGAGAAAAAAAGTGTTAGAAAATTTGAGGTAAATCTTGTAGGAATATCCATGCTATCCTTGTCTCTGAATCTTGGTTAAAACCGTGTCTTCCCTCCACTTCCTACTCTCTACCTGGATACCAGTTGATAAGAAATGATCGCACGGGCTGCGGCGGTGGTGGGGTTGCCATATACCTTCGCACAAATATTTCCTTTAAAATAATCGATATGTCACCACAGCCTCCGCCGCAGAACGCCGGCGAACATCTTTTCTTGGAACTAACCATGCGGCATTCCAGAGTATTGCTCGGTGTCTATTACTGTCCCTCTCTACGTGTTGACTACTTTTCCTCTTTTGAAAATTTACTGCTAAACTTAACTCCCTCCTACAGTCACAGCATAATAATGGGTGACTTTAACACCTGTCTTCTGAAACAAGATTCCCGCTCCTCCTCACTTCAATCCATTGCTCAATCATTCAATTTGTCTCTCCTTCCTTTAAATGCCACTCACCACTTTCCTAACTGTTCACCTTCTCTTCTTGATCTTATCCTTGTCTCGTCCGATCAACACGTTGTCAAGCACGGACAATGTTCTGCTGACAACTTTTCCTATCATGACCTAATCTTTCTTTCGTACAAAATCTGTCCTCCTAAATCTAGACCAAAGACACTCTTTCAGCGCAATTTTGGTGGCATGGACCATGATAGGCTTCGTGAGGATGCCGGCAACATTGACTGGACTGAGCTTCTTGCCGCTGAAGCAATTGATGAGAAAGTTAATGTCTTCAACAAAAAGCTCATTGAATTGTACGACATTCATGCCCCGATACGACCTGTTAAAATCAAACACGTACCAGCGCCGTGGTTGACAGATGACATCAAGGTCATGATTCATAGGAAAGCAGCGACGAGGGCCAAATTTAAACGTCAACCAAATCCTGAGAACCGCGAAGAGTACATTGCAGCCCGGAATCGCAGCAACAAGATGTGTAGGGATGCACAACGCCGCTATATTCATGAGTCAGTACAAAACGGCGATCCGGCCAAAGTCTGGAATTTTTGAGGTCTATGGGAGTTGGCAAGCAGCGTCAGAATAGCATCTCTAAAAACTTGGATTGTGAATCACTCAATAAGCACTTTTCTTCCTCACCCTACATTAATGGGTTAATGAAATCCAAAACCTTAAAATATCTTTCTTCTCTTCCTTCTCCCGACTATCCACCATTCTTCTTCAATCAACTCACAGCTTGTGGCGTTAGGAAGAGTATAATTTCCATCAGTTCCAATGCCGTAGGGAGTGACTGCATCAGCCGTAAAATGATACTCCCTGTCTTGGATGAGATCCTCCCTGTCATCTGCCACATCCTTAATTATTCCTTATCCAGCTGCGTCTTCCCTTCTGCATGGAAGGAAGCGCAGGTTACACCACTTCCTAAAAAATGTAATCCAGAATCCTTTTCTGACTATCGCCCCATTTCTATTTTACCTTTCCTTGCTAAAGTTCTGGAACGTCTCATTTATAATCAGCTTAGCGCTTTCCTTACCAAACACAGTCTCCTCAATCCTTACCAATCCGGGTTTCGTCCGGGACATAGTACCACTACGGCTCTGGTCCACATCACTGACGATATACGATCCGGTGTTGAAAACGGCAATCTAACTCTGCTCACCTTGCTGGACTTTAGCAATGCCTTCAACACCGTTGATTTTGATATACTGCTTGGAATACTGGGCTCTCTTAACGTATCTCCAACTGTGATTGATTTCTTTCGTAGTTACCTGTGTGGCCGCCGGCAGCGTGTCGCCATTGAGGGTTCATACTCTTCCTGGTCTGATACAGCTGCTGGCGTACCGCAGGGGGGCGTTCTTTCTCCTTTACTCTTCGCAATTTTTATAAATTCCATCTCTAATAAACTTCTATCTTCCTACCACTTGTATGCTGACGATCTGCAAATTTACTCACAGGCACCCCCTAACGAATTTACCGAGGCGGTCAAGATGGTGAATACCGACTTGGCACGAATTTCGGAATGGAGTACGGCCTATGGTTTGAAAATTAATCCCGCGAAGACACAGGTCATTGTTGTTGGTAGCCCCCGTTTACGCTCTAAAATTATATGGTCGCAGATCCCTCCGATTGTTTTTAATGGTACCACAATACCATACAGTGATACGGTAAAAGACTTGGGTATTGTTATAGACCGAGACTTCTCTTGGGGAGCTCAACTGGGACAAGTCAGCCGGAAAATGTTTGCGTCTGCAAGATCTTTGTGTAGACTTCGAAACTTTCTTCCGACTGCTACTAAAATTGCGCTTACTCAATCACTTCTCCTTCCCATCCTCGATTATGCTGACGTCAGCTATCCGGATCTCACCGAAGTGCAGTTGGACAAACTTGAGCGACTCCAAAATTTCAGTATAAGGTTTATATTTGGTTTACGCAAATATGACCACATTTCCGAATATCGTGCTAAGCTTAAGTGGCTGCCGATCCGCCTTCGCCGGGATACTCATATCTTATCTTTACTCTACAGTACGCTGTTCAATCCTACTACCCCTCATTATCTCAAAGAACGTTTCCAGTTCTTCCATGACACACATTCTAGACCAGTACGGTCATCGGAGGACATGAAGCTTGAAATGCCCCAGCATGCGAGCAGATCATTTGACAGATCTTTTACAGTTCGAGCTGTTCGACTGTGGAATGCTCTGCCACTTTCTATAAGACAAGCAGAGTCACTTGTTGCATTCAAAGCACTCGTGAAAAAGCATTATCTCTCCACGTTGTAATTTACCATTACTATTTCTTTTCTCTCTTTGTTTTTTCTTTACTGTTGTCTATTCATTGTTCATACTATATTTTATTTATGTATTTATGCATGTATATATATAGTTTTAGGTATATATTATATATGTTGTATGTAAATATATATTATTTTATTTAGAGAATATATATTTTACTTGTATATATAATTTATAAGTAGATACCTGAGTACACCTAGAACAACCTCCACTTTCATACAATAGTACTTCATTCACCCAAAGGTTGCCTGGTAGAGATCGCTTTTAGTGATAAGGCCGCCTTTGTACCCTACTATTCTTTATTATAACATTACATGTATATTCTATTAATTTAAGGTGTACAATAAAGATTATTATATATTATATTATATATAAATCTTGTCTGTTTCTATAGGTTACTGGAATTTATGGAAGCTGTTGGAAAATTTTATAGCTAGCTAGGCTTTAACCATGTAAGGATTAATGCGTAGGTAGTTTAGTTGCTGATGCTATAAGTAGATATTTGCTTAATAATACTAAATATTTCAAAGAAATCAATCCAAAAAATTAATAAATCAAAGCAAAAATTTGTACCTTTTAGGGGTTTTTTAGCAGATAAGTTATTTCTATAGATTTTCAATTTCGTTAAAAGTTGTAAATCTCCTATAGAAAGCTCGATATGCTGGGTAATCTATACATAGATAGAAATAATTGCACTCACGTCTTTCAACCTATCCGTAGCGCGGTGTGTGTGGGGCGGGGCTAGGCCGGGCCTCTTGTGCCTGACTGCGGTGAGCACGGCGGACCTGGTGGCCAGGGCCGTCCGTAGCGCAGGGCACAGCAACGCGCCCGCCGCGCCCGCCACCCGCGCCGCCAACGCCGACTCCCCGCTCGCTCCCAACGCCTTTTGCACGCGAGTGAGCGCTGCACATACTTCTTGGTAATCTGGAAAAGAAATAGATCTTTATTAATTTATTATTATTTATTATCCATTGTTATGCTTTATGCCAACATCAATGGGTATATTCCTTGCGCAAATATGGGGAAGAAATATAATGAATGATACCTATTCAACCATTTGTCTATTGAAGGTATTTTCTGCTATTACCTCTATCTTAAACTTTACATATACAAACAGGATAAACTTAACATGTACAACTTAATTTTCCTTCAAGTAATTTCAATAAAGAATATGTTAGCCGTATTAAAGTTTAATGCTTTTATAATCACTATGATAGCAATGAAATATGACATTTACAACAAACACGTTAACGTTTAATTTAATACTGCATTAATTGACACGTTTAGATTAAAATAACACTTATGTATAATTAAAATGGTTGCTGTAATAATATTGTTTCTTTGAATATTACTACGATTGGTACTCATTGCGGTAATTGTATGATATCTTATCGTTTATATCACTTTGAATCTTGAAGTATTAATAATTGAGTCTTACGCTGTAGTAGGTATGACAATGAGTAATTAAACAGGTACAGATATTATAATAATTTGATTTAAATATAATTTATTGTACTTGTCTTCAATGATTGTTGTACAAAGTCAAATAATTTGCAACAAAATGCTATTGACCACCGCTTGTTGTTGCTGCGTGTTGCTTGTGACTTGTGATCACCGAACATTGCTATGCTGATATCATGATAGGCATTTGTATATATATTATATATCCAATTGTAGATGTATGTTTCTATAGTGAGACACTAAATTGATTTACTCCTTCTCTTCTTATGAGCATCGTGCGCGAATGTGGCTACGTCTGCCTACTCATGAGGTAGAGTCCCCAAAGTGACATAGAGCTTTTCTCAATATTTTACGTAAGTAAACTAGCTTTTTAAATTAATTATGATAGGTATACGTTTCGATATTAAAAATCTGATTACCACATGTATAATAGAGTGCATATATCTGTCTCGGAAAGCGTAAAGAGAAATGGTATAAGTAGTGGATGAAGGCCCGTCCAGGACCAGCATTTGGCAAGTTAACACCTAACTAACCTTCTGAACTCGAAAACTTCCCATACACGAAGTAATAAGACCGTGAAACACTTGATATAAACCAAGTTTGAGCTCTTACCCTCCCATCAACCCCTTTAAGGTCAATCAAGGGATTATTTTCCTCGAAAACCTTTAAAATATAGGATATTATGACTTTATATCTTTGGGACCCGAGCCAGGTAGTGAATTAGAGAAGGTAGTGAACTTTGAAGTGATATTTCTGGTAACTAATACGATTTGCTGGGGAAGGAAGTGTTTTTATGGACCTCTAAATTGCCTTACTGAGGGTATTAAGGTTCTAGGGGTTAAGTTTGTAATTAAAACGAAATATATGCGTACGTAAGCGAATAAACTGATTTATATTTTTTGGGATAAGATGGTAAACGAGCGGACGGATCACCCGATGGTAAGCAATCGGCGTCGCCAATGGACACCTGGAACACCAGAGGCGTTACAAGTGCGTCACCGGCCTTTTGGAATTAGGAGTTTGAGGAATGTTGGGGATTCAGGGATTGGGGAAAGGGAGGGGGCGTTAATTGGGCATCCGGTAACCTTACTCACACGACGCAACACAACACAACGTTGTTTCACGTCGGTCTTCTGTGTCTATCGATGCAACAATGAGAATCCTAGACAGGACAATCTATGTGATAAAGAACAGAACACAATTCAAAAGATTGGTCTACCATCTTAGCTAAGGATTCATTCATTTTCAATAACTAGGTAATTTCTTTCCAGATCAAAATCCAATCTTAGTAGCAATTCAGTCTGCTTCCCAAAAAATGTAGTCCACCGTGGACGATGCCCCAAGAAAAAACAAAACACTAAGCAATCTATAAAAATATAAACGATGCTCTCTTAATAAAGGCAAAAGTATCTTAATTTGCACCCTCTTCCTCACACATAAACTCTTAATTCGTTTATCAGTTCATCAGCAGGACAGACCAAGTTTAGCTGGACGTTATTTTTATCAGTCATCTGAGTGTCCCAGTTCAGTAATATCGTGTGGTGAGCAAACTACTGATATGTGAACTGGAATTAATTCGACCCCTAGTTCGCTGAGAAAAGTGAAAATATGGGACAACGGTGGAAAACTGGAATACCGTGGAAATATAGCCCAACCGACTCTATCGGCTATAAATGCGCTTTTTCAGCGATGCAGAACTTTTATACCGTAGTTTTCCCACTGCCTGGTATTTGGACGTTTTCTATACGTATTTTTTGGTATTTTTCAATGTGTACGTTCCGATTTTTGTTTATGTATTTTAGCGGTGAAATATTTGCTGTGTGGATTTTTGTTTATAATCTAGTTATCTTACTAATAGTAATAATATCTTAATATGTATGTATTGTATCAGTGACGTGAAGTTAATTGTGACAAATTAAAAAAAAAACTATAATCTGTGTTTTAATAAAGAACTTAAAACGTTATTTATATTACAGGATTACTTTCGGAGTAAATCACTCTTCGTCAGATGGATTCAAATTAATATATGGAAATGAAAATTCTCGGAAACGTATCAAAGACCAACTTTTACAGCATTATCGTGTAAATTAATAATATATATCAAATGTAATTTTGTTAAATTATTCCTCTACAGATTGTAACGTGAAGATAACGTCGTCATAAATAAATATTCATGGATATCTATGAATATATGTATCCAGCTTTATAATTCTGGATACGGAAACCATTTTCACATAACGAGAATTCGGTTCGGTTTTCAAAAAGTAATATATTGGTTGGAAACTAAAAAAAATAATATTTTATTTATTTTCTCTATGAATGGGCTGTTGAATGTAATGAATGGATATTTGGTAACGAGACATTGCACACCGGTTTGTAGTTATTTTAACGTCAGTGTTATGTGTGTTAAAATTGCAACCACTAGATACATAAAGCGTAGTATCACAGGCAAAGGACTTCATTTTACTCTCAATAAAGTTTGTTTACACATTAATACAATTCCCACAATTTTCATAGCCCTTTTCGTCCTAGATAAAAATTTCAAAATAGGAACTACGTGTTAACCAACGAAACACACATGAAAGCAATTGACAATTTCAGTTTGAAACCTCACGAGAAAACTTTATTGAATCGAATTCAATGAAGCAAGAAAATTAATCTTTTTAAACTAATAATTTCTCAATCTGCAAATGTTTTGGAAAGCGACGGAAAACACATTTTCACAGCAGCACCAGCGCCTTAAAAATCCAAAATCTAATACGTTCTCAAGCGAAGTAATTTCAGGCATCGCTGAATTATTTGCTTCACTGAAATTTTTGCTGATCCGCGAGAAAAATTACCGCTATCGGACGTGATATGAAAATAAGATAGGTTCCGAGTTTTCCTTAAACTCTGTTTCATGTGGATGGGATCCGTATTTAGAGATGGGGAAGGATTGCGAATATGTTGATGGGGGTAAGGAAAACAGTAAAACCCATAAGTGGGTGAAAGAACATCTGGGCTGGGTGTTTGCTTGTTCCTTTTTCTGACTTTTCTGTATTTCATAGGCTTTAACATGATTTAATTGATCCTATCAAGGCAGACAGTAAACACCACTTATTATAAATACGTCTCTTTCATAGGTATGAATATGAATGAATGTAATTGCATAGATGCACGTTGTCAGTATCTGACACATTCAAATTCTATACGATGTGTGACCAACAAACGTGATACATAAGGCAAGTATAGAATCTAAGGCATAATAATAATAATAATTCCGATGTCCAGGGCGAAACTGTCGTCTAAAAGACTCCAGATCATTGGAAATATCACACGTACCTATTAAAAAAAAAAAAATAAATAAACTCACCGACAACAGCATAAAGTTGCGTGGAGTCGTCGCTGATGTCATCTTCATAAGCATCGTTGACGAAAGCAGTGCCGGACGATGGGGGGTTCGATTCCAAGGCCTGTAGCTTGTGAGACCCTCGCAAAGAGTTACGTAGGAACTCGTTCTGTGCTGCGATCCTCTCCTCAGCCTCTTTGCGTTGTCGGAGCTGTTCCTGTTGAAGATAGAAAGTTGAAGGTTAGTTTATTCATTGTAATACTTGCTGGAGATATGAAGAAGTCGTTCACCTGTTTCTTCAATAGATTCACATGAAGAATTCAAACTTTTTATTAAGACTTATATGTATATAATTTATAGTCTTAAGTGTGGGAGAGCCATGCTTCGGCACGAATGGGCCGGCTCGACCGGAGTGATACCACGGCCGAGCAGAAAACCGACGTGAAACAACGCTTGCGTTGTGTTCCGTCGTATGAGTGAGGTTACCGGGGGCCCAATTACTCTCCCTCCCCTTTCCCCAATTCCTGAATTCCCAGCAAACTCTGGTGTTCCAGGTGTCCATGGGTGACGCCGATTGCTTACCATCAGGTGATCCGTCTACTCGTTTAAAAAGAAGCCTGTAACGCATAAAAAATTAACTTGAAATCTAATATTGTACTAAAAGACATTATAGTCCATACCAAACTAAATCGAGTCAGTTCACACGAAGTATTGCAATAGTATCGACAGTTCACATGCATTCAGTGACCACTGAATGCGATGTGACCGTTCTCACGGTAACGCCATGAGCTACCAATACTCACACGTAATGTTATCATACCTTCATTACTTTCTCTATGATTTATATTGAGACTAAATATTATGTTGTAAGGATATTAAGACATGGTCATTTATATGCATTTGTGTTGTGTATCTATTATAGTAAGTACTCCTATTATAGTAAGTAAGGCAATAATTATATGACTATATTGGGATCTATACCAGATATCATACCACTAGTGAGATCTACTAAAGATGTCGGAAAATTTAATAATCCTTGACTCCTAGGCTTACAGACCCTTCAATTCCATTATCATTCTTTCGTTTATTACAATTTTGATCTTACTAACTTCATCTGTATGACTATTTAGTCACATAAGAAAATTGTCATGCCTTAAGTAATACCGTGCCATTACGAACAAGTCCATATAGAGGTATAATCTTACATTAGCACATAGGTACATATATCTTGTAGAATCATCAGTAGCCGACCAATAAATCCTATCACTGCCGTCAGTCAAATAAATCTTGTCAGTTATCTCAGTTGTCCCACATCGCATAACATCACCACATGAGGCCATTCAGCCGTAAACCGAACACCTTGACCGACTGCGTAATATGTTTATGTAGGGTCATGTAATATTTACCTATTTATCAAGCTTTAATAAACAGTAGAACGTTTTCCATCGAAGATTTCAAATCCATCTTAATTACTTTGTAGTTTTGCTTTAAGAAATTAAGAAAAATGTCGCTGCTAAATTGTCATTTCATTTTATGATAACTCATGTTTATTCAAACAACTCAGTTATGCGAAAACAGTTGAAAACATTCACAAAAACATAATTTCTATTCCAACAATAAAGCACAAAGATTTACTGTAATTGTCTTCCAAAACATTAAGTTCAAACTTAAACAAAAGAGCGCTAATTGTTTAGCCAAGTGAGTGATTCCAGTCTCTAGATAAACAAGAGAATTTGGTTTTCCAAAACATCACTTGCAGATTCCAAGTTCCAATTTGCTTTTGGTGCGATTTTCGGACCAGCGCCAGCGGACCGAATTCCTTTACGGTGCATCGCACATTTAGGTGCTTGGCGAGACTGCAAGACCAACTAAACTTTAAGAAACTATTCACTTCAATTTAGGCTAACTTCGTCTGATGAGATAACTTCACAATTCAAGCTAAATTACTTCTGAGCCGGGCGGTAGTAATCGAGTAAGTGAATTTAGAAACGACAAACGAGGCTCAGGGATCGAATGTTCTCAAAATCATAATTCGATTTGAAATTCGAAACCTAAACGAATGACAATAATAAGTAATATGAGAAGCTTAATGTAGACGCAAAAGAACAAAGGCGTCATAACATTGTTGTTAGTCATTTTGGAGAAAGAAAATATGTTTCAGAACTCATAATGAAGTCAAGCCATGAGCCATAAGCCAGAGGGACTGAAACTCAAAGGAATTGAAGATTAAAATATTCCACAATAGCGTGTATGGAAAAGTGTTACATTTTAGCAGTACAATATAATGTGTTACTTATGCATAAGCTCGTACAAATTCAAACAGTGTGTATTGTTGCAAACAATACGAAAACATTCAAAATTCACGAACCATGACATACAAAATACAAACTAACCAATATGGTACCATTTGGTCTGCTAAACGTCGCGTTGTTTAACATACAATGGTGGCCGCGGAATTATGTATGTCGTGTATGTTCGCGTGACGTCACCGTGTTAGCCGATAGCATAGTTGGACAAACAGATCCGGCCGCGTTATGGGGTCAGGAGATAGCAGAGAGAGCAGATTTTCTAATTCTCGAAATTGAGGAAGTTTATTGTAAGGAGATTGAAGAGAATAATAAAATGGCTGCAGCAGCAACGATATAGCCTGTGTCTAGACTTGTGTCATGACATTAAACTCAATTTATATATCTAGAATTTTATCTCGGGTGCTCTTCTATTTGAGATCGTAAAGCAAACTTATTTGACACGGAAAATCATAAAACATATTACTTGAAGTAACTCCAGATGGTGTAAAAGGTCAATTTATTTATTGAACTGCCAGCGCAGTGGATAAGCGACGGGACGACCCCATTCTGCCGCAATACTTGTTGGAAATTTAATAAAAAAATATATTCGATCCCCTCTTGTTAAACATTGCGTTATGAGCATCAATCGTTTGCTTGAAACTGTTACTCAATTTTGAATACATCCCTTCTTATCATGTTGGCTTTTCTACTTAGGTTATTTTTGGAATTCCAATCTACACCTAGGTAGGTACTACCTATGTATGATTACCAACCTCAATGAAAAGATACTTATTTATACTGAAGCTGTTCAAATGACTATATTACAGAAGATGAATTCAAATACTAAACAGAAATTTCAAATAATTGAAAGGCTTTACGCAAGGGCCCATAAAACAGCAAACTATATTCCATTTAATTTTCCGACTGTCCGAATCAGAAATTCTGAAGTTTTAATCATAAAATGGAAACTTCCATTGCTTTGAACATTATATTTATTAGCTTGGAAACGGTGCATTTACGAGAAGTAATTTAGTTTTGGCAATAGTTTTATGACCTGTCTTTAAAATACGTTCTAAACTGGTTTAAAGAAATATATGAACGAATGACTTAATTTTTATCACTTTTCAGTTCTTCCTGCCTTGAATACCATTAATGAAGCAACTGCCATTTTATTTTTATCTTTGGTTACTCCAACAGGACATTTTATGAATCCTTCGGAATGTGTGTTATTACTTTGAAGGATTTTACAGTAGGTATGGTAAAACTAAGTCCGCTTCCAAATTAGCATTACTTTTTCAGTCCAATGCTTCCTCACTCCATCCATAACAATTCTTCATAGTGCACTAAATTCGACACGAACACTAAAAGCATGCAAACATCGATAATTCCCATAGCTTACATGGGACCTATTTCCACATTCCCTCCATAATATATCATATCTTTACTCTCCGGATCCCTGATTGTGCAAGAGAGAAAGTCCCGAGGTGTCACTCGAGATTTATCGATGACAAATTGTAATGGCTGCTCACACATCACTTACAAGGATCAAGATACTGAATGGCCCGATTTAATATATCAATATCTTTCCTTATACTGGTCCTATGTTATGGATCGAAGGACATAAATGTTTATGAATGGGGAAAAGGAACAGAAGACAATAATAATACGTACATAGACGATTTCAGGGTTCCGTTTTCATGATTTCTAAAGGTAATGAAGAGAAAAACTAAGGTCTTTAATGATTTAGGCTTTCCTTTAAGTTTTCAAACAAAAAAGTTTAGCAATAAAATCATTACGAAGTCTAAAGTTTGTTTAGGGAACACGAAACTATCGTACTTGAACTATAAAGAAGATAAAGCAAACGTAGCCCAGTAATTTGGAGTTTTTTATAGCATTTAAACTACCTAGCCTATTTGTTCCTTAAGCTACTTATTGCTTTACTAATAAGAGCCTTTTGAAAACAATCAGCGTGTAGACGTCAATGGAAGCCATTATTTCTATTTCCACGACGATGCCCCGTATACGGGCCGGTTCCGAATATCTGTCGCATTTCGCGCCAAACGGCCCGGACATCACGATGTTTTTACGTTCTTACGGAGCCCGGAATGACGTCATCGTCAGTAAGTAGGCACAATTCTAGAATAGTATCAACAGAAGGTCTATTTTTATTGGTATTATTGGCTTTGAAAGAAATTACTACAAAAGTGTACCGTGAACGTGTTTTATCTAACTTTGTTTTATGTTAACAGTTGGTCTATTGGTTATTCGTTTTATCACTTTTAGTCACAGTTTAATTCCTCTTTCTTAAAATAAACAATAAAACAACACACTTTTATTAATTATTTTATGAACAAATGATTATATTTCTTACTTTTTTGGTCCTTATTCCCTGACTATACTAAAAAGTGGTCCTTCTGTCCCATCCACTTTACGAATAAACATCAGAGCCTGTTTCTACGAGCACAGCTACTAGGTATGAATATTTTTATTGACCAATTTGTACAATTTCGTTATTTCTGTCCTGCCATAGGAAAACAGGTGTGCTACTAACTTTTACTTCTTTTATTACTTCTGTTATAGCGGTTCATTGAGTTTTGTCGTCTGCAGTCAATTGTTTATTGTGTTTTGCATTTTCTTGTTTATCTGTGTGCACTTTTAGTTTCTCTGACTTATCTTTTAGCTTTACGTATTTTGTTCTACTATGACGATTAATTCTAATTATATTGACACTGTTTTTTTTATAGCATTAACAGGTAAACGAGTAGACGGATCACCTGATGATAAGCAATCGGCGTCGTCCATGGACACCTGGAACACCAGAGGCGTTACAAGTGTGTTACCAGCCTTTTGGGGATTAGGAGTTTGAGGATCGTTGGGGATTCAGGGATTGAGGAGATTGGGGTAGGGGAGAGTAATTGGGCCTCCGGTA